TCAATTATAAAGAGATTTTCTCTCCAGTTTTAACAAAAAACTCTTTCGGGATTATAAATGCACTTATCGTACATTTTGATCTTGAGTTATATCAAATGGATGTAAAGACGACATTTCTCAATGGTGACATTGATGAGATGATTTATATGATGCAACCAAAAAACTTTGTGTCAAGAGATCTAAAAAAAAAATGGTTTACAAATTAAAGAAATCCATCTATGGGCTTATGTAGGCTTCCCATCAGTGGTATCACAAATTTCATCAAATAATCATCTCGTTTAGATTTGAGATGAATGAAATTGATGATTGTGTATATGTAAGTATATTTTCTTCGGATTGTATATCGATGACATACTGCTTGCTTGCAATGGTATAGGCTTATTGCATAAAACTAGGAGATTTCTGTCAAAAAATTTTGAGAGGAAAGATCTTAGTAAAGCCTCTTTCGTATTAGGGATTCAGATACATCAGACCATTTTCAGGGTATTCTTAGATTATCACAAAAGAGCTATATCGGTATGATACTTAAGAGACTTGAGATGCATGATGGCAAACTAGGCGATACCCTTGTTGCTAAGAGACACAACTCTCAATCAATGTCCTAAGAATGACCTTAAAGTAAAGGAGATGGTGAAAATTTCCTATGCTTAGTAGCTAGGAGTTTAATGTATGCTAGGATTTGTACAGGTCCAAATATAGCATTCATTGTTGGAATGTTAAGTAGATATTGAAGTAACCCTTAGATGAATAATTGGAAGACAGGCAAGTGGGTTATGCAGTATTTACAGAGAACAAAAGATAATATGCTCACATACACGAAATCAGACCAGTTGGAGATCGTTGGTTATTCTGATTTTGATTTTGCTTGGATTTCAAGACATTAGGAGATCCATATTAGGCTATGCCTTCTTGCTAATTGAAGGAGCTATATCATGGAAGAGCATTAAGCAGACACTCATAATTTCTTCAGCCATTGTTGCAGAGCTTGTAACCGAATTGAACCTACCATCTTATCTCAATCCGGAGGAACTGTAACCCAATGGAATCTTGACTTGGGCGAATGCAGAATGTGCCTCAATAGGCCCACATCATTTTCTCTATCAAGATGAGGTACATGTTATGAGACATCTAAGCAAGGAATGTGGCTATGAAATTTTGTCACTATGCTGCGAGTTTTAGATAAAATTGAAAGATCACTTAAGTTATTTTGTGACAATAAGTCAACAATCTTGTAGTCAAATCAAAATAGAAGTTCAACAAAGTCTAAGTTTATAGACATCAAATTCTTGGTTAATGTCAAAGAAAGCATCCAGAGTTTTCAAGATGCTATAGAACATATTGGGACAAACTCCATTATAGCAAATTCATTTACTAAAAAGACTATCCCTTAAGGTCTTTTATGAGCACTTTGCTGACATGGGTATTTTATATTTTGATGATATGCTAGTTTAGTGAGAGTTTGTAATTTTGGATATTGTCTCTTTTGGACACATGATTTTTATTTGTCCACATTCAAATTTCCTTCAGTAATAAAATATTCAATTCAGCTTTTGCTCTAACTAAAGTTTTGGTTGATCTCATTAAAAAATAAGGTAGGATCAATTGGAAATATGCAAATTTAGATCACGTTACATATAATTTTCATACTACACACCCATACTTGATCTGTGTTATTTGATTTTGTGTTGATATATGTGACCATTGATGATTTTAGTTATGATAATTGTAACAAAAACTGCTTTGATCATATATTAACATAATTGATAGATGAGATTGCTCATCAAGCATACACATTTATAAGGTAACATATGTGGCCCAAGAGGAAGATTGTTGAGAAATTATTAATCTGTCATGTGGACCGACATGTGTAATTAATTATGTATAAAGGTTATCTTAAAGTTAAACAAAAATTAAAGTAATCTAATAAAGAATTAAATAATTGGCACTAGTGCATTTAAATAAAGTGTAAGTGAAATTATATGTGTGGAAATCAGATTTCTTTAAAATTGTATTTTACAATTGGCGAAATGCATACGGAAACTATATATAGGGTTAATGTCAATTCATATGCAATTTCTCATTCTTTGTACCATCCCATCAATAGAAAAATTAATAGAGGAAGCATATTGAAAAGGAAGACTCAAAACCCACATAAAGGAATACAAGAATCAAGAAGAAAATTCAAGAATCTAAGAATCCATAATCAAGAGTCAAGATTAAAGATCTAGAAGTCAAGATTCATTATTTAATATACAAATCAATAGATCAATGTATGTTTCGCATTAATTATTATTCTTGATGGTTTGAAATGAAATTTCATAAATATTTAAGAGCCTTCCCCACACACTACCTTTCTTACCTACAATTTTGCTGCTAAATGCGTAAAAATTGATTAATATCACGTTTAACTCAAATGCAAGTCCAATAGTCTATGAAGGTCGAGAAATCAAAAAAATAAGTCATAATATGATTAATGTGCCCAATAGGTTATTCTAGATTGTATATGTAGCATAGAATTATTTTTCGGACGAAGATTCAAATGAAAAAGAGACTTGTATTACAAGCGAGAAAGCAAAGATCACAATAAGTCGTAATCTTTCACTTTTTTGTCACGCGTTTCTCACCTGAAATATCAAATCAAGGAATCTAAATGACAATAACTAGTACATAATGATGAGAGAAAGATGTGTGCAGGTTGGTACACTTTAAATCCATTTATTAGAAGTAGAATAAAATGTTGAAGACAAATAGCCGTTTAAGAATATGAGAATCAACTTCGCCTTCATCAACCAATTGTAGATCAAGGTGAGAGTCTAGGTATGATAATGGAAGTACTTAAATAAAAAGGATACGTCGTTAAACCATCTTTGAGGATGGCCTCATAAACTTGTTTGCCCTAGTCGGACGTTCTATTCAATTGATTTTACATCTAGACCTCTCATATATATTTTGCTCCATTTCAGAATTCTTGTGCTCAGGTCCTAGAAAGGAATTCCCAATTCTTACATGACAAATTATAATTAAAGAAAAAAGTAAAAAGTTGTTCTATAAATTTGATTTTTTTCTTTTCTACAGAAGATGAAGTGCTATAAATTAAAAATAATGCTACTCGTACATAATGGAATTACGTAAAAGTTTACATGCAGATGATATATCAGAAAGAAATGGTAAGATTTTATTTTTATTTTTTTTGAAGAAATTCTGACTTAATCATAATCTCATCACATCATGTGTATGTAAATCATTATATATATGTAGTACAATGGAAAATTAAAGACAGCCATGATTTACGTACATATTGTAAATCAAATCATGTTGCAACTATATCTTTTGTACAGTAGAAGCTATGGTGAAACCATAATTTCATATCATAACTTCCTCTACAGGCACTATGATTAGCAATTTATTTGTCAATTTCTGCTTATTATTACATATTTATTTCTGTTTATTTCATGTCGTAATTTCATATCTCTCATGATAGAATATGTGTCGATCTATTTCATTTTCAAATCCAAGAATCAAGAAGAAAATTCAAGAATCTAAGAATCCATAATCAAGAATCAAGATTAAAGATCTAGAAGTCAAGATTCATTATTCAAGATACAAATCAATAGATCAAATGTATCTTTCGCATTAATTATTCTTCTTGATGATTTGAAATGAAATTTCATAAATATTCAAGAGCCTTCTCCACACACTACCATTCTTACCTACAATTTTGCTGCTAAGTGCGTAAAAATTGATTAATATCACGTTTAACTCAAATGCAAGTCCAATAGTCTATCATGGTCGAGAAATCAAAAAAATAAGTCGTAATATGATCAGTGTGCCCAATAGGTTATTCTAGATTACATATGTAGCATATAATTATTTTTCAGACGAAGATTCAAAATGAAAAAAAGACTTCTATAACAAGCGAGAAAGCAAAGATCACAATAAGTCGTAATCTTTCACTTTTTTGTCACGCATTTCTCACCTGACATATCAGATCAAGAAAACTAAATGACAATATCTAGTACATAATGATGAGAGAAAGATGTGTGCAGGTTGGTACACTTTAAATCCATATATTAGAAGTAGAATAAAATGTTGAAGACAAATAGCCGTTTAAGAATATGAGAATCAACTTCGCCTTCATCAACCAATTGTGGATCGAGGTGAGAGTCGAGGTACGATAATGGAAGTACTTGAATAAAAAGGATACATAGTAAAAACCACCTTTGAGGATGGCCTCATAAACTTGTTCACCTAGTTGGACGTTCTATTCAACTGATTTCACATCCAGACCTCGCACATATATTTTTCTACATTTCAGAATTCTTGTACTCAGGTCCGAGAAAGGAATTCCCAATTCTTACACGAAAAATTAAAATTAAAGGAAAAAGGACAAAAATTGTTCTATAGGTTTGATATTTTCTTGTCTACAGAAAATGAAGTGCTACAAATTAAAAATAATGCTACTTGTACACAATGGAGTTACGTAACAATTTACATGTAGATGATATGTCAGAAAGAGAGTGGATAATTTTATTTTTATTTTTAAAGAAATTTTGACTTAATATAATCTCATCACTTTGAGGGTATGTAAATTATTAAATGCATGTAGTACAATAGAAAATTAAAGACAGCCATGATTTACGTACATATTGTAAATCAATTCATGTTGCCACTGCATCTTTTGTACAGTAGAAGCTATGGTGACACCATAATTTCATATCATAACTTCCTCTACCAGTACTATGATTACCAATTTATTTGTCAATTTCTGCTTATTATTACATATTTATTTCTGTTTATTTCATATCTCTTGAGATAGTAGCCCCTGTTTGATCCCCATTTTTTGAGGTAAAATGTATTATGAAATAGTGATTTTGTGCAGAATGTGTGGTTAAAAAGCAGGAGTTTATTTTTGAAATATCCGTATAATTATTTTATAGGAGAATGTATGGTTGAAAATGAATTTTGAAAAAAAATGCATTTTTGAGAAAATGGAGCTCAAACAGGGGCATGTGTCGATCTATTTCCTTTTCAAAGTTTTAAATATTAGAGAGAAAATAAATTGACGTATATTCTATCACGAGATCATTTTTTTTTTCCACATAAATTTTTACAACCCCTACTTTTATGTAATGTCTAGATTCATTTTCTTACATCAAAAGATCCGACTCCGATGCTGCAAGCTTCGACCATTCAAGTTCTTGTTGATTCCAAAGAATGTTGAGGAATGATGAAACTGGGAAAATATCAAATATTTTGTTTAATTATCACAAAAAAGAAAGAAAGAAAAAAGGTAACTGAGTTCTTAGAAGAGTTTAAGTAACAAGAAATTGAAAGAAGAAAACCATATGGCCCTCTAATGAGCCAAAAACAAAATAGTCCTAACATAGAATTAAATGAATATATGCAGAAATAAAATGAAAACTAGAACAAATTTTATTTGTCGTACATAGTATGTTTCAAAAGGAAATCTTACATCTAACTTAGAGAGACAATCAAACATGATCAAAAGTTGGTAATTAAACCTTAAGACTCTTTTCATCAAAACCAATCAAATAGATAAGCAAACCTTTCACAAAAGCAAATCTATAGTTAAACCTTCATGCTTCGTGTAAAACTCCAAAATATGGTTGTCATGTTCATCTTTCCACTCGCAATATTAAATAACACTAAGCAATAAAATAAATAGGAATTTATTTTCTTTTTGTTGTTTTGTACTGCCAGCTATTATTTAGTTCAACGTACTAAACATGTTATTAGCGCTTGCAATGAGCTTTACACATATGGCGGCAGTCGTAGAAACACGGTCCGCCGCAATGGAGTGGACAATCCAGCCTCATGCCTCTACACCTCCCTTTAAGCATGCATTGTGCAAATTCCCCCATCTTGTACTCTCCATTATCCGAAACTCTCTTGCTGTGCAAATGGTGCCCCCTTTTGCCTGATTTGTTACAACCCCATCTCCAATAACCACCCCCACCACCTCCCCATCCCCATCCTCCTTCTCCTCCTCCTCCTCCACCACCACCACCACCCGTTCCCCATCCTCCACCACCACCTCCTCCTCCTCCTCCTCCTCCACCACCCCCACCATTGTTCCTTCTTTTGTTATTAACTACAACTTCATTTGAAGTCTTGTTTCTTTTGTGCTCGCTTGAAACCAATGGAGTGACCTTGGTTTGTGATTGTACAATGTCACCACTCCCTTCACCACCTCTCAATCTAATCAAAACCAAAGCAAAGAACAAAATTGTCCACAAATTCTTTAATATTGGTGTATCCATGGAGTCGTGCCTCCAAATTCTCTGCAGATGTCTTCTATTTATAACCAAGAAAATAACATAAAAGTTATATAGACATCTAGGTTTTGCATCCCATTTGATCAGTGATCTTATAAAAGCCAATTAACAAACAATAAATAAAAAATAAATTGTGGGTTGAGCGTGGGAGATTTCTTGGGTTTTACTTTTGTCCCTACCTAGATGGAATTGGGGGCATTCAAGGTTGCAAGAAAAGTGAACTGTACGTGCCAGTTGGAATCAGTTGCAAGAATGGCACGCATGGACCCACAGGATCTCTAGTTTAATTTTCTCTAAACTTAGTTAAATTAGACGATATGCTTTGGAAAAAGAAAGTTTAATTGTTAAAGTCACCATTGAATCATTGATATTCTAGATTGACAAGACATATGAGATAAAAGGTAATGCTATTTATCATTTCCTTTCATCTCTCTAATAAAAAATGAAATTTCCGTTCTCATTATTTCACATAGACTATCACATCACTGATATTCCATCATCATACTGTTAAATAGTATTATGCTTAGATAAAATATTGACAAGTTCTGTTACATATCATTTTCTTAAGTTTTTTCACATTTGTCGAGTCTAATGTAACAAATATGTTAGTGATTAATTTGACTCAAAGCTTTTGATCAATCTCCACTTGACATGTATGTGGACAATTTAAGATGATCATATATAGCCATTACCCAAGTTGATAAGGTCCCCTATTCTCTGAAGTTGCATATTTGGTATGCTATACATTGTGGACAACAATTTATCACCACATCTCATGCAATAGAATATGTCCTTATTTTAATTCGTAAGGGCGTGTTTAATGCATTGGATTTTATCGAATTAAAGAAAAAAGTAATAACCCGTTTTCATGTCCCATGCAGAGCCAAATCATCAAAAAATATGAAGCTAATAAAGAATCATTAGAGAGGAGACATGAATACTTAAAAAATACGCACCAAGGTGCAATCTTAGCATTCATGAAAGGTAATGTATTTTCTATGAAGAAATAATTCTTACTTCTCTCTTTTGCTTAGCACTTCATAATAAGAGTGTAGAAAGTTGAACTATAAAGCATAATCATAACATCAAAAGAGTGAAGAGAAAGAGAGATTGGTTCCAACTCCCAACAACTGAGGGTATAATATTGCACACATCCTTAAAAGAGTATCCATCACTCTGTTTAGCATTCCCAGGACCACCTGTTTGAAGCAACTACTTGCTTTGATGGGCATTCGGACCAAACTCATAATGTTGCCGAAATTGGTCCCTCGATATGCTTGTTATATACATAAATTACTCGGAAGGATCATAAGACTTTTTTCTTAGTCGATAACCTTTCCACCTTAACGTTGTGTTCAAGCATTCATGTGATATCTAGGTGTTAGGGGAGATGGCCCGGATTTTCTGTTAGCCACTAGATCGAATAGATTTTGAGGTCAATAATACTCACTTCGTTTAGTACACAATACATGACACAACTTCATATTGTACTACCAATCTTACCAAACAAGTCATATACAACTATAACATACAACAAAAACAACTATATACTTACCATAAACGAGAACAAATCAACTGTTTTAGGTCCCGTTTGTTTCCCATTTTTGTAAAAATGAGAATGAAAAATATAGCTATTACGGGCCCCACACAAAAAATAGAAATTCAAATTTGGTGACTTGATGTGATGGATAACGATCATATTTTTCATTTTAATGAGAAAAAAATGGGAAACAAACGGGGGCTTAATATCCATTAGATGACCATGTTGTATGAAAAATACATTTTTGCCACGGCTTACACATACAACCTTCAAAAAGACTCCATGAACCACGACTATATTCAAGTCTTGTCAAGGAAAAATAATAATTAAAAAAAAAAATTCTGCAAGATGATATAAGAATTCGACATGATAAAAACAAAAGGCCTGCGTCAAGCCAGGTGTCAAGATAGTCCCTGCTCAAGTCATTCATGCATGTATCCATGTTTTCCCCTGCCAACTCTCTAATATATTGACGCGTAAGTCTGTTCCAAGCTTGTCATTCAAAACCCTAATCATGAAAATTGTATCGAACCCATTGGCCGTGGTTGTCGTCCTCATACTACTACTAGTGGGCATTTCTGCTCTTTCCGTGGTTTATAGCTTAATTGTAGCATGTTGAGTTGGTACCTACATTTAACTTAAAACAAAAAAAAAAAACTTAATGGTAGATCCGAGCTTGGGCTGGCCTTGGCTATAGCTCGGGATCCGTCCCTCGTCCACCATAATGGTCCCAACCACATTAGGACATTCTCTAGCAAAGTGACCTGGACTCGTCTCCAGCTTCCACTTGTTATTTTGGCCATAGAATCGACAGGGATAAGTAAGAAGAAAACTACATAAATGTTCTCTAACAGCAAAATGCTTCCATTCAAATATATGTAAAAATTTGCAGTTTTCTTTAACATGAATTACGGGTCAAGAATCCTTGTTGGGATGATCCATATCAGACAAAATGGTAATTCAGTAAAGATTACTGGGATTTTAATTTTTTATTTCCTGACCAAATTTACATTGAGAAGCAATGGAAACAAGGAAAAATCATTAAACTTCGCACCACTGATTCACCAATATACCTATCACCAGCAATCTTCCTTCAACACATTCCCTGTTCAGAATAATGTCATCAATCCCCCTCACACTCCCATACATGAATCAGTCCTATATAGAAAACTATACACCCCACACCAATTATGAAGAACACTTAAATGTAGCGTATTCTTCCTTCTCAAAGATCACAGGAGCCAATAAAAATGTCTAGGCATGAATGCTACAGAAGATCATGGAATGTGAAAATAAAAGCAAGAAGCAAAACACTTTTCCTTCAACATCTATGTTTTCCCTTTGCGTTGGTATTAGTTTTCAACATTGTAGCCAATGCAATTTGATATAACCTACATCTATTTAATGGAACCAATATGATAAAATCATCTTCAATAACTAATAACTAAGAGAGGGAACACTCGTAAACATTAAGCAGGCTCAGGGTGTACAAGAGTTTAGGAACTTGCAAGGGTCATTATTATTTGGAACTCATTCAATCATAGGTAGTACTGTCAATGCGGTTAACATAAACATTCAATGTTATTATCAATTAGGTGTGTCGATCTCTTACTCCCCATTTTCCCCTCACACCTTCATAGCATAGATATACATCTCTTTGAAAATCGAAATACAGATCTTTAAAGAAAAAAATTTCCTTTGCCAATATAATTATTATCACCCTTTAATTTCTTGTTAAGTTCATTTCATGCATTCTCATGGTTGTATTAACATAAACATATACATAACCATGACATGGCAAATACTATTAACATTGAGGTATGTTAGCAATTTACAGGCTCAATCCTGGGCCAAAGCCAACTAGGCCTGAATCCCGATCCTAGGCCGAAGCAAACTAGACAATGGTGTAGGGCCTCTTTTTTGAGGGGCCCCAAAAAAATAAATGAACTACAACCCTCCAATAGCCGACCTAAGAAAGAGCTACTGTCAAATATATTTTGAGGGCCTAAAATACCCTTAGTTTGAACTTTTCTCAATTATGAATTCCACTGCCGCATTAGTGTCGCCGGTGGAGGTGCCCAGGAAAGAAGAAAAAGAGGATGTTTGCTTATTTATTTTTCCTTTTATTTGCTAAGAGTTGAACACGGTTCGATTTAGATGATTTGTGAGAAATTTTCATACCAAACCACTTAAAGTGGTATAGAAATTTTTCAGACCGAATTACTTTACTTTCTAAACCAAACCAATTTAAGCCAATTTTTTCTGTTTAAAATCACTGTTTAACAAATAAAAAATAACATATATCAAATAAATTAAATTATAAATATTTATCTAAAATTTCAAGTCAAAATATAAATTTTATCATTAATAATATTACAAACCAAGGTTCTATAATTAGTGCAACAACATTATAGAAACATTTTAACCTCATAGTTGATAGTAATTGGCGCAACCTCAGCAATTGTAATATTATGATTCAATCTCTCCATAAAAATGAAAATATAGTACACGAATTAATTGATTATAGTTAACTGATATAAAACAACTAATAAAAGCAAATGAATAGAAAAATCAAATATGATAATATATTCTTTTACTTTCCATAAATCATCCAATATTTTTGCGTTACTGTGAAACCAATTTTTAGGGCAAATCATCACCTCATTCATATTTGCATTTAAGGAACTCTTAAAGAAATTAAGAATTCAACCACTGATAAGGAATATTGACTCAGAAACAATTGTAGATATTTGAATAGTTAATATCAGTGATCGTTGACTCTATTTTAAATAATGAAATAAGTTGTATTTCTCTTTCCATTTCGGAGAGTGGTAAGTCCAAAGGGAAGTATTGACATTACTAGTTTTCTAAAAGGCGTAATGTGTAGTGATGCGTAGAGGTCAAGCTAGGGGCTACATGAGCTTAGACGAGATTTAGGCGTAAAAAAACGTAAAAAGATGTTTTCTTATTTTAATATTATCTTAATTTTTAATAAATCAAAGAATTATTTAATAATTAAAAATAATACTTACTAAACATTTAAAATAGAGTCATAGAAACGTTATACAATTTTTCAAAGTTTCCAACAAAAAATAAGTTTCAAATTTAAATACAAAATAGTAAATAAACAGTATATGAACTTAAATCTTATCTAACTCTTTATCGGACTTTAATTCAATATCTTCTTCTTCATATAATTCATCCTCCGTATCTTCTGATACAAGTAGTTGTCTTAAATTAGGGCAAAATGAAAAAATTAGCCATTGATAATTTTTTAACGACATAAAATTTTAAAAAATAAAAAAAGGATGATATTGGCTTGCATAATTGCACCTAGACGCACCTTAACATCAATAATTGTCGTTGAGGCTTGGCTTGGCGTTTTGGCCGAGCGTCACGCCTAGACTGGGCCTAGGTGCGCCTTGGCACTACCATTGAGAACATTGGCGAATATACCTTTAGCAATTTGGAGGAGAATCTTGTACTTATTTGCATTCAATTTCCACCAAAGTAATATATCGAAAGAATCATTGGTCAAATCTTCAAAACGACCATTCATGTAACCAATCAAATGATTCTAGTAAATAATAGTAAAATCTAGAGACTAAGCTAAAACGTAAATAATTAATTGAATGGGCTAACCAAAAAATTGAGATGCAAAAAAACAAACAATATTGTTCGCGAAAAATTTAAGGGAGCCCGGTATTTATTAGAGTGAAATAGCACAACTAATAATAAAATATAGAAAAAATTACCCAAAAAAAACTAACATACTGACCTGAAATTCAGCCAAAATTTAAGAAAATTATTAGTAGAAGGAAAAAATGTGTGAGTTTGAAATTAAAATCTAGATTTAATTGTCTATTTAATTATAATGAATGGTCGGTAAATATGATTGAGCAATAGTTGTTCAACAGCTCATCCAATTTGAGGGTTTTACATTCAAAGTTGTAATGACTAATGGGTATTTGTATATGATTTAATTAATTAGTGGGATGAATAATTATCTATTTAGGTATTGAGTGGGTTATGTCTAATATGTATATATCCTTTTATCTGGTATAATTTAATTGGATTGGTTTGGTTCAAAATCAAAATGTTGAAGGATCCACGTAATCTCAAACCAATGATTTCAAAAAAATGGTTTCAGTTCGAGTTTGAGGTTTGACGGTTTATGGTTCATTCCTATATTTGCATAATCAGGATACTTGTAAAATCACATTTCATATTTACAACCTATAGTATGATAATATGATTCTTTTTTAGTAATTTGATTACTCCTTAATATGTATATATGTAGAGGCAGAGGAATTTGGATTTCGATTGTTATCTTATTTTTAATGTTTACTTGGTAAATTTGGAAATGAGAGATGATAGATCAAGATTTCAGTTTGCAATAAGATGATAAAAGACAAATGGTATATCAAGATTTTGTATGGAAATTCATAGCTTATATACCTCTTAATTTCTTGCTTTATTTATTTTATTGGAGATTTTAGATTATGAATTTGTTAGAATTTATTGTATAAATGAAGATGAAACCATTGAATTTTAGGATTTTAACTCTGGAGCTGGAGTTTGTGGACGAAATTTTATGTATGTTAGAAATGAACTTAATAATTTGGTTATAGTTCTGGCTAGTTTCCAATTCAATTGATTCCTATCAGTTGAATTGTTGAAATAAAGAATTCATATCACTCTGTATAACTAAATATTTTATGGTGCCAATTACCATTATTTGATATTTTGTGTTTCTTGAGTTTTCTCTTTCGTGAAATCATTAAATTTCAGTGCCAGAGTTAAGTTGAGACTGGAGAATTTTGAACTTACAAACTCTGGCGCTTAATTTCATGACATTGGTCTGATGGTGGACTTGAAGTGTGTTGAAGGTGAAGGTGGTGGTGGTGGTAAATTTGAGGTGTGTTGAAAGTGAATGTAGTGGTGGTTGTGACTATGATTTGACTATGAAGGTGGAGGTGGAGGTGGTTTGTGGATTTGATGTGCGGTAGTGGTTGTGGTGGGTTGGAGATAGAAGTGGAGGTGGTAGTGGACTGTGAATTTGAGGTGGTGATGATTTGGGTGGTAGAGTGCGATGGGATGAGATGAAAAGTGATTGTAACTAATTAATTGGGTGATTTGTGAATAATACTATATTCATCCAGTAAAGATATATTTGTTTTTAGTTTCACGCAGAGTAAAAAATATAATTAATGTAGTTGAAAATAAAAAAATTTCCTTACATTTTTCCTAATGTACCTATACATTAAATAATATTTTAAATAGGATTAGTTTATCTTCATTGATAACAAGATACGTTAAATATAGGTATATTAGAAAATGGATAATCCCAACTGAGACCCCAAACCTTACAAATAATGGTAGACTTTATCCTAATCTTTCAATCATTGTAACTATTACTCCAAACCTTTCAAATTGTAGCAGCTGAGGCTCCAATAGATGGTTTCCATCCAATCTGTTGTTAGTTGACCTAAGAAATTAATTTTGACCATATTTTACTCAATTTTATAAGGGCAAAATAGTAATTTAGCTCCCGTTTGACCCCCATTACATTAAATTACATTTCATTTCATTTTATTTTTCTCTATCATATTTTTCAACCACACGATCTTTCATAAAATAATATTATACGTAAATCGAAAATTTTTGCTTTTTTTTAACCACTCATTTTTCAAAAAAAATCACTATTCCACCCATTTTTACTTCAAAAAATGGGAGCCAAACGGAGGCTTAATAGTTTCCCATAAAATAATTAAAAACTTAAATAAAAAACAAAAAATAAAAAAAAGCAAAAATATTTGAAAAAAGAAATCCGCCATATCATCGCCATCGCCATCGCCCTCGCCCACCACCGCCACCACATAAGGAATAACTTCAATATTGTCATAACCCATTTTCTGTATTCCAGTAGATTTAAATTACAAAAGCCACAGAATTCAATTCATTTTCAGTTTCTTCACCTCACAAGGAAGCTTTTTCATCTTGCTTGGTTTTGACCTTTTTCATGCTTTTTCTCAACTTTTTCTATCCTTTCACTCCTTCCCATAATCCAAGAAGACCTGCATCTCTCCCAATCCGATGTCGAAAAATCTGCTGTGGCATACTTAGTCGGGTCCATCTTCTCTCGACTCATAATGGGGCTCGTATGTTTTCGGGTCGGGTTGTCGGGTTTGTTGCTACTTGGGCCAATGTTGGGTTTGGATTCACTCAACTTGTTATGCCATTAATGTATTATTTATTCGATGGTATGGTGGATTTCTCGTTTTAGGTTGAGGGATTGGGTGATGGGGTGGCGTGAGGAAGAAAAAGAAAGTTTTTATTTTATTTACTTTTTTTAATTAAGTTTTTAATTATTTGATGGAGAAATATTAAATTACAATTTTGTCCTTATAAAATTGAGTAAAATGTGGTGAAAATTAATTTTTTTTAGATCAACTAACGATGAATTGGATGAAAATCGTCCATTGGGACCTCTCTATTATGATTTGAAAGATATGGGATGACGACTACAACGATTGAAATGTAAGAGAAAGTCTGCTACTGTTTGAAAGGTTTGGGACCTTGGCTACCATTATCCCATTAGAAAACTAAAAAATATCTATACTTTCAAGAAGAAAAATGGTCCATAATTTAGGACAAACGGAAAGAAAACCAAGTCTATTTTTATGAGGCGAAGTTAGTAAATAATTTTTTATCCAATAAAATGTGTGATTTGCAACTAAATATATAATTGTAACCACATATTGCGACTTTATGACTTAGACCTTGTACGATTTATGATGAGTCTATGACTGATCATAAATTATGTGTTATTGCTATAGTAACCTATTTAATTAAATTATAGGTCGTAATATTATATCAAATGTCACAAAAATCATTTGATTTATTTTTTTTTAAATACAAATTTATTTTTGAAAATGCATTTTTCCCATCATTAAATGAATATCATGATCCAATTTTCTTCCCATCTGGGCCCAATTGACTCATTAGCTGTCAAACTTTTACACTTTAATAGACAATTAATAGGGCTTATCTTATCCAAATGTCCTGCCAGTTGGGCCCATATTTGCCTCTTGAGATGTCAATTTGCTTTACAAAAAATGGGACAGAGAAAAAACTTTCTTTGTGTACAATATCAGTAGACAATTTCAAAGAGAGAATTTCAAGATTCAGTCCCCTTGTGTTGAAATTTTATAGCAAGAAAGTAAAAGAGAGAATTGGATTCTCTTGATCACTCCAAGGACAAGATCTGATTTTAAGCAACGATAACACGTCATAATCCGTACATATAAAGAAAGTTCTTTATTCCACACATGCCAATGCATAAGTCATAAAAAATACTTATTTCTAAGAGCGCGATATGTTACTATTAAACAGCTTATTTATATTTCTGCTAATTGTATCACGAATCGAGATTCTCGACCCTTGATCAGATAAAGTTGTTCACTGTACGACCCACAATTCAATTCAAAATGAGCCTTGCAACGAGATGCAGACATTCCTCATCCTATGGTCCCCTCCCGCCCGTTCCCTTGGTTGGATTGTGGAAACATCCGAGCGATTGCCTTTAACTTTGATAAGAATAAATTATTTATTACAATTTACGACTTATATACTTAATACTTAGCCAAACATGTACTAAATATTTACACGCAGTATTGAGCTAAAAAGTGTCATTGAGCTACCAACACTGGTCGGTTTCCCAATTCCGGCTCCGGGCAGTGTACCGAGCAAATCCACTCGCCGACGGCGGCCAAGATCCCATCCTCCGCCGTGAAAGTGCTAGGTCATAATTCGCTCGCTTCTGAGGATCAGATAGAGTGGCATAAGCGGCATGCACTCTCATAAACTGGTCGGCTGCAGACGTGTCATCGTCTCCGAGATGCAATGCAACGTCAGGATGCAAGATTCTGGCCAATCTTCTATACGCAGTCTTAATTTCTTGACCTGAAGCACCCATTTGAATTCCCAGAAAATCGTACAACGACGCCGTTTGTGAAACATTGCTGCTACTACTTACGGTGGCAGAAGTGGCGGAGATGGGAAGTTGGCAGCGGAAACCGACATGGCACGGCGGAGATGGAGGTGAGAATTTGGGACCAAGTATTTGATTTGTTAGAGAAAATGGTGAAGAAGCCATGAGAGGATAGAACAATAACGAGTGCGAGTATATGGATTAAAGAAACAATATTTTTGAGTTGAATTTATAAGGTTACGACTCTTATGAATGAATGGTGATTGTGTTGGATCCGAGTGGGCTGAAATGGATAAACACAAGACAAGATTGCTGAGTCATTAATATTTTGGATGTTGATTTTATGATGGTAGGTGTCAAAATTTACTCATGACGAAAACGTGATTAATAATAAAATTGCTTTGTTTGTAGCAGGAACGAATCCAAGATCGGGCTACTACGCGAAAAAAAAAATTACAAATAAAAAACTGATTTTTTTACCAAACAAAAATAAAAAATACCTTAAAAAAAAGCTCTTGGGCTTGAGGGAGGGGGTTACAACCCAGCCCAG